CCCAGCCAGGAAAGTGGGAGCCAGGGGACAGAGCGAGGGGTAGTTGAGTCAGCATCTCCAAGGGCACCCGGCCTGAGGGAGTGACCCGGGGACCAGAAGTCCCTGCCCTGTTCTGATTTATACCTTGGCCAGACGAATTTCCACCTGGTGACTGGGGCGTCAGGGTGTCCAGAAGGCAATCCCCCCATCTTCTAGGAGCTTGTTAGGGACCTGGCTCCTGAGACCCCGCCCTTGAATAAATGGGGGAGCAGACAAGAGGAGCCCCGCCGGAGGGGTGGGGGGCAGACCCACAGGATGAGGAGGGGAAGAGGTCAGTCTTACCCAGCATGCCTTGGGAGTGCCAGGTGTACTCGTACCAAGTCTTGACGCGGTTCTGCACGGACCTGGGGATCCGGTAGAAGGTCATGTACTTGACTGTGCTGTCCATGCAGCTGCGGTAGTAGGTCTGTCCCGCGGTGGCGGCCCCCACCACATCTCTCATCTGGGGGAGTGATTGGGGGGGTCAGAGTGCAGGGTTGTAAAACAGGCTCTGTGGGGTGGGTGGACACACAAACAAACGTTTGGATTGGGGGGAAGTTTCTGCTTATTTGGGGGGGGCGGCTGTGGGTCAGGGAAGAACTGGGCTGCTGGCCTCTCTGGGGGCCTCAGTCCCTTTGGGTTGAACCAGGAGGGAATGTCCACCCTGATGGGCTAGGCCTGTCCAAGTTGGTTCCTGGTGCCCACAGCCCCTTGTCTACCCTCCTCTGGAGACCACTCAACCAGGTAAACTGCTCCTCAGGGCGGGGACCCCCAAAGGTAACTCTGGGAACCCCTGGTTGTCACCTCCTGCACCAGCCAGAACACAAGACGGCCCCCTGGCCTGCCATTGCCACCACATTAGAAGCCCCTGGCCCCCCAGCCTTCACAGGAGCCACTCAGTCCAGGCCTTCTGGAATCACAGCCCCCCCCCCCCATGTGGGAAGAGGACCGAGTCCTGCTGGGTGGTGGGGCCCAAGGGTCCCACCTTCACCAGCAGGTCCCAGGCTCCAAGCCTACCTGACGGGAGCTTCATTGGCAGGGATGGGGAGGGAATGCGGAGAGGGGACTTGCAGGTGACCCAGCTACCTGTCCGATCATCACGGAGAAAGCAAAGACACCAGTGAAGTAGTTCAGCAGCTGGAAGACGATTTCAAAGAGCGTCTGCGGATCGGGCAGCCCCCCGATGGTGATGAGGGTCTTCACAGCCCAGTAGTAACAACGGATGTAACTGGAAAGAGGGGGCACTTGCTGGCCTGGGCACCGCCACCAGGTCCGAGTGTGCAGACAAGAAAGCCCCCACAGTTCAGAAAGGCCAGGAGCCAGCTTCCCCATGGCCCCACACTCGCTTGCAAATGCCGCCTGGTTTGATGGAGCTCTGTCCCAACCCCACAGGGACATGGTGTAACCCCCACCGGCAGATGGGAAGAGTGATGTTCTGGGGGAGAGGTGGGGGCTAGGAAGACTTTCTCAGAGGACCAACCAGGGTCTCCCTACTTCCTGCTCCCAAGAGGAAACATTCATTTCTACCCTCTGCCCTTCACTCTCTGCCTTTATGCCGGACCATGGGGCTCCCAGAAAGCCTGGACAGACCCAACATCAAGGTCAGAAAATCCCTTTGCTGACCTTCCCTCTTGCCCACCCACTGTCAGATAGTGAATCTGAGGTTCCCACAAGGGAGTACCCAGGGTCACCAACTAGCCAGTTCCAGAGCTGAGACTAGATTCATTTCCCAGGGGTCCCTGGATGGGGCACGGGGACTGTGGGTCCCCTCGGGGTGACAAAAGGTATAGGAAATGCCCCACGCTGTCAGAGGATCACAAAGCTGCCGAGTCCCTGTCCGTCTGTCCCTGTCTGCAGGCTGTGCCCCCAGGGGTCAGAAGAAGACAAAGACACAGGACCTAAAGACTGGCCAGTCCTTGCCCTTTCCTGCCCCATCCATCCCGCTCCACTCCAACCTAGGGTGCTCAGAAGCCATGGGAAGCCTGCCTGTGTTCTGAAGTTCCCTGCTCAGCTCTGAAACCAGCTGTCAAATCTTCCAGTCTGAGTCTGACTCAGGCCCACATTCCCCGGGGCTCCACGCGTCAGCTGCTGATGCAGCATGTGTCCAACTCCCAGTCCCATATAGTAGGGGTGCGGCAAAGCTAGACTGGACGCTAGAGGGGTGCTGGGCACATATCGGCCCACAGTGGGAATGGAATGAAGCCACTAGCCGTGGGAACAGGCAGGTAAACCTGCAGTGAGACCTGGGAAGGGGAGACAGAGGTTTCGGGGGAGGGGCAGGAGGCGAGGGTTGGGGGAGTCTCTGCCTTGGGCTCCGCTCTGGGTCTCTGCACGCCCCCCTCCGCCACGCCCATAGTCATACCGGCTCTAACCACCAGAGGGCACCCGAGGCATCCTTCAGCCAGACTTCCCTACTGTCTTGGTCAATCTGGAACCCTATTGGAGCTGCCGCTGTGGGTTTCTAAGAGTAGAAAACCCCGTCGCTCTCTCGCAGAGTGACCAGCAACTGCTAACTGCTGACCTTACAGTTAGCAAGTCGATGCATAACCCACCAGGACTCATTAAAAAAAAGAAAGAAATTTATGACCATCAAATTGATGGCAACTCATTGCACCCTCTAGGACAGGGTAGAGCTGTCCCTGTGAGTTTCCAAGACTGCAGCTCTTGATGGACGTAGAAAGTTCTTTCTCCTGTGCAGCAGCTGGTGGGTTTTGAACTGCTGACCTTGCAGTTCAACACACAACCACTATGTCACCAGGGTCACTATGAGACCAGGGCTGCAGAGGGCTTCTCAGACAGGATGTCTGTAGCAGAGTAGACAGTTCATCTTGCTCCTGGCAGAGTTTGAACCGCTGAGCTTGGGTGAGCAGCTAGCGCTGAAACGACAGTGCCACCAGGCTCCAGACTGCCAGGCTGCAACCCCTCAGATCTCTGGGTGCTCTCCTTGCATGGGGGTGAGGGGGTTCCGACTGCTGGGACAGGGACAGGGGGAAGACCCAGGGCCAATGTCCACAAACTCTGACTTTTCCCCACACCCTTTCCGGTAAAAGAATCTTCCAATGACACAGTACTTCTTAAGGGGGCCCCTTCTTCCCCTCTTCCCATCTCCCCTTTCCACCCCGTGCCCCAGCCAGGAAAGTGGGAGCCAGGGGACAGAGCAAAGGACCCCGGCAGTGGGCATTCAACCAATGGTGGCTGTGTTAGATGTGACTGTCTTTAATACGGTGCCATAGTGGCTACAAGTTGGGCTTCCAACTGCAAGGTCAGCAGCTCAAAACCACCAGACATTCCTTGGGAGAAAGACGAGGCTTTCTACTCCCGTGAACAGTGACAGTCTGGGGAACCCACAGGGGCAGTTCTACCCTGTCCTGCAGGGTTGCTGTGAGTCAGCATTGACTTGACGCCAGTGAAATTTGGTGTGTTTTTTTCTTTTTGGGTTTATGATTAACCACAACACTGGATTTTGGATGCGTCTGATTACGCAGGGTCACTGAAGGGCAGAGATTGAAAGCTTGGCCTACCTCCTCTTTTCAGGGAAAAAATATGAATTCAGCTCCCTGTTGCCAATGAAAAACATTTGGATCCTAGTCCATCATCCAGAATAAAGTGTAGGGACCTGCTTTCGCAGTCTCCCTGACCTGTTCCAGGCCCCCCTTGGGGACACTGCCACCTGCTTTGGGAAACAGTTATAAGGTGTAAGGTCCAGACTCCTCCTTCCAGCCACGCAGCACAGCAGCCTCTCCTCAGCCAGGTGGTCGGGCTGCGCCACACCCTTCCCACCCTCTCCTCGGTGCTGGGCCCCACGTGGGAATTTCTCCTCCCACCCCCACCCTCACTCCCATGGAGGCAAATGGGACAAGAGTTAGGGCACGGCAGCCACACCACATGCCTGGGTTTAAGTCCTGGTGAACGGAGGAGCTGTGTGGCGTTAGAAACACTTCCCCTACCCTCACCTCACCCGTAAAATGGGGATCACTCTTGGCTCTGTTTGTGTGAGCGGTGCCACCTGGGATGGTGTGTTCGCTCACTCACTGGGCTGCTGACTGAAAGAGTGTCAGTCCACCTTGACTGAGGCCCTCAAAGGAAGCCTGGTGAGGAACTGCCCAAAACTCAGCCACAGAAAAATGCTATGGGCACAGTTATGCCGGGACACACACGGGTGCCCCAGGCTGGGACTGACGCCACAGCAGCTAGTCTGCGTGGTTGTTGTGAAGAGTGAGTGAGTTACCCCACTGAGTGCTCAGACAGGACTTTACGGACCTGTGCCGCAATTATTACCAGGATTCCCGTGAGCGGGGGCGTCCCTACCATTATTGCTAGTATTTCCGTCAGCAGGGGCGTCCCCACCATTCTTTCCCCAGGCCCCATCATTCATGGCTGCTGTCTGAGCGGGCACACAGCTCCCTCCTTGGACTTCCGTGACTCCTTCCCACCCAGCCCCGCTTGACTTCAGGGCCCTGTAAGGATCTCTCTAGAGGGCTCTGGGGGGCCCGGGCTCCCTCTGCCTGGCTCACGGCAGGTGCTCAGGAAGCAGCAGTGTGACAAACCCTTGAGCCTTCCCGAGCCTGCGGCTCCTTGCGCATGTCAGCTTCAGCAGCAGGGTGGGACGTGGGTCCTAAGGGACAGGGCTGAGCCTAGATGACTGCTTATCTGGCCAGATTCTCAGGAGACAGACGAGGCCGTCTACTCCTGAAAGGTCTGAAGGCTCATAAACCCAGCGCGGCAGGTCTGCTCTGCCCTGTAGGCTGGCTCGGAGTCAGAATCGACTCCGTGGCAGAGAGTGGAGTCGTTGAGCCGAGCCATACTCTCATTTGCCGTAGCCCGTGGGTGATGTACTGCGGTGCTGGGAGCCCCGGGGCCGTAGCAGTATGCGTTGGGCTGCTAACCACACGGTCAGTCATTTGAACCCACCAGCTGCTCCTCAGGGGAAGACAGACCTTTCTACTTCCATAAAGAGTTACAGTCTTGGAAACTCACAGAGGCAGTGGTTCTACCCTGTTCCTTCGGGCTGCTTTACTCCCGTAAAGAGTTACAGTCTCAGAAACTCACAGCCTGGTCCCATGTATTTGGAATCTAATCAATAAGGGAAGGTCCAAAACAAGAAAAGAGACACCCGCGGGGACACTGCTGGGCTTTGGCAGCAGCAAGATGACCGGCTTTGACTCTCAGACATTTTTGGCATCTAGCTCTGGACCCTGCTTTGGGCTCACCTCCGTCTGACCTTCGCATTTGGGACTGCACGGCACCCACCACCCGGTGAGACATTGCTTCACGGTTCTCTGAGTTTCTGTGGGTCGTGGCAGCGATTCACAGAACCCAAGGACTGGAGGGACCATCCTCACGGAGGAGCGAGGGGGAAATGGTATGGGCTAGCATCTTGGAAGAGTTGGATATTGGGGACATCTTTAATCGCCTGCCCCTTGGGGACCCATCTGGTCTTCATTGTTCTAAGAGAAACGATGACCACAGGGCAGGGCCTGAAGGCGGGCTGCAGCTTACCTGTTCCCCACGCCGTCGTAAACCCAATGGGTGGAGCCGATGCCCTGGTAGGCGGACGCCCAGTAATAGAGACAGGAGTTCACGTGTAAGCTGTAAAGCAGGTACGCCGTGGTCCTGATGACCCTGCGGGAGGAGGAGAGGGTGTGACCGCAGCAGCAGTAAGGACGGAGGGGCATGTACCCTGGGGTCAGGACCGCAGAGTTCAGCCCATCACCAACTCCCTCGCGCCCACCTCAGGGACGTCCTGCTAGAACCACATGGCCTGCCCAGATGCTTGGTGAGGTGGATGCCTATCTGTCCAGTGGGACCCAATGGGTGCTCTTTTGAGGCCGTGCCATCTTGAATGGAAATGCATCCAGAGTTGGCACGGGGCAGCAAGACCACCTGTGCGCAGGTTCTGGGGGCATGGACAAGCCAGGGGGCAGGAATTGGGGGAGGGGGCGAACTATGGAAGGAGAGGTGGAGAGGGGACATGCTTTCCAAGTGGGACCTGTGGTCTTCGGTCCCACCCTCGGACCTCTGTGAGACCATCCACTGTGGCCCCTGTCTGAGCCACGTGAGGGGGCCCAATGCCTTCGGTTGTGACCAAGCCCCTGGAATGCTGGGAGCCACACCTGCCTGTGTCCTCTTCACTACGGGGGAATGGACACCCCTGGTCCTCGAAAACACAAACACCCTTTAGGAGAGGGGAGCTTAGGCCTGGCTTCCGGTGAGAGGAGGGGTGGGGGGGCAGGAGCAGGGGCTGGAAAGAGGAAGTGATGTAGGAGAGGAGAGGACGGCTGGCCCCGTGTTCTCTGAGACGGGGGAGCGGCTCACCTGTAGACGTAGGCTTTGCTGAGGATGGCTTCCAGGCGGCTGTTAAACTCAAAGAACGCCATGTACTGGGGGAAAACAAGGCATCGGTGTGACACACAGCACCAGTGATGACGCAGGGGTCGGGCTGCCCATTCCAATCCACCATGGCCCTCTCTGATGTGCTGTGGCCTCAGGCAAGTCACCCGAGCTCTCCTGGGTCATTCAGGTGGAGACCCTTCAGAGCACGCTCCTCTCTTGAGAGGTGCTCCCTTGGGGAGCACTAACAGTGTGTAAGGGACTCTGAGCCTAAACGCTGGAAGTCTGCCCCCACCCGAGTTCCACAGAAGAAAGGGCTGGCAACTTGCTTCCACAGAGCTTCCAGCTCAGGTAACAGGCATCAGAAGACCCCAAACAAACAAAAAAACGTATCACGGAGAATGAGAGGGGTCAGAGCAGAGAGCCTTGCCCATCTGTAGACATTGGGACATGCCCTCACAGGAGGGTCGCAAGGAAGGGATGAGTCAACCCGGCTACAGTATAGCACCGATGAAACACACAATATTCCTCTGGTTCCATGAGGCTTCCTTAGCCCCCACTATCATGACCCCAATCCTGCCTTTCACTGTGGGCTAGGCCGGAGCATGTACACAGCACATACAAGAACTAAGGACACATGGAATCCAGGTCAGATAAGCCCCTCAGAAACATAAATGGAAGTAGGAATACCAGGAGGATGGGAGGAAGGTGGGGAGAGGAGGGGAGGAAGGGGGAATGATTTGCAATGATAGACACATAACCACACCCACCCCACCACCCCGAGGTGGGCGAACAACAGAAACCATGGGCAAGGGAGAGAGAGCAGTCGGTTTAAGATATGAAAATAATAATCATCTATCATTTATCAAGGGGTCATGGGGGGCTAGTGGGGAAGAGGGAAAAAAGAGGAGCTGACACCAAGGCTGGAATAGAAAGTGTTTAGAAAACAATGATGGCGACCTACGTACACATACGCTTGATACAATTGATGTATGGATTGTTACAAGAGCTGTAAGAGCCCCAAATAAAAGGATCTTTAAAAAAAAATCATAGAGCTGACAGCCAAGAAAGCCCCAGGCAGGTTCGCGTGTCCTGAGGCCCTTTGTGTGGTCACCAGCCTTCAAGCTTTACCTTCAAACATCGGGGCAAACGCAAGAGGGGGTTCACTCCGAATTTCAAGTACAGGAAGTCCAAAGGCAGGAGACAGAGCAGGTCCATCTGGAACCCCAATGGGACACAGGGTGCATGAACGCGTGGCTCAGGTGTGCAGGGGCTGCATGAGGGAGGGGCCCCGGGAAGGCCCTACAACTGGAGGGCAGAAGGCACCCACCACAAGCCCCGGCGGGGCTTCCATACCAGGGACAAGGGCTCCCTGCCTGTGCGGGGAGCTGCAGGAGGGCTGTGGGGCTGCAGAAGACCCCCAACCTGGGCGGGGGCCTGAAAGGCACTCCCATGGGAGATAGGACCGGCACCTCCCCCTCTCCCTCCCCCCCAACCCCCCCATGATGCAGGAACCACTGTCTTCGGAGGCCCAGGACCCTGGAAAACGCGCAGTGCATGCACATACCTTAAAGCGGCGAGATTTCAGGTAATTGTTCCGCATCTCCTTTTTGTCCGTCTGGAAGAAAAAGGGATTTGATGGTGAATAACCTGGGACCTTAGCTCCTTAGCTCCTGGCATCTCAGGAACACAGATGGGAGTCCTCGCCGAGCACGGCCCCTGCCTTCACGGTGAGCCAGACTGGACCAGAGGGGCTTCCAAGAAGCCCTCCCAATGATTCCCAAAGGCAGCGCCAAGGGGCAGGGGGCGGGGGAGGTGTGCTGTGGGTGGGCGCACGTGGACTTTCCAGGGACCTGCCTCCCTGGGTGACTTTGTGCGGCTTCACTGGCAGAGCCGGGAAAGAGACTGCTCAGAGCATTCTCCCGCTCTGAACTGCTCTAGAAGCAAGGCCGCAGCTGGCTCATACCCTGCAGGGACCGCGCCTCCTCCTTCAGGCAGTGGGAGTGGGGGCAGGACCAGGGTATGGGGTCTCCTCAGTGTACTGTTGGCAGACCCCCAGGAAATGCTGACCGCCCACAGCTGACGGGGCTGGGGACCCATTTTACAGAGGAGGAAACTGATGCTCAGAGACGCGCCACAGCCAGATATTATGGGTACGCTGGGGTTTGAACCAGGTCCCCGTGGTCATACCAAGTCCCCATGCTCAGTTGCGGTGGGTGGTTTTGGGCCCCTGGGTGTTTGTCATTGGGACAGAGGCATGGGGGGGGGGGGATGGGGCAGCGGCGGCTGATCAGGCACAGAGAGACGACCCTGAGAGGCCCGTGTTCACCCATCTGTGGTCAGTTGCAGCAGGGACCTCAATTCCCTGGAGGCCGTGACTGGGGCCACCCCTGTGCCCGCCTGTGACTCACAATGATGTCCCCGCCTTTGACGAACTGCAGGCGCAGCTGGAACAAGGTGATGTCCAGGAGGTAGATGAAGTCGCACAGGTAATCCATCAGCATCCAGAGGTACAAGTTGTCTGGCCGCTGGTAGGGGAAGGCCCAGCGCACCGGAATGAGCCAGCAGTTCCAGTTCCAGGCCAGCACCACGAAGAACAGCCACAGGATGTACATCAGGTCTGCAAACAGGAGGAGGTGCGGGGAGGGGCTCCTGTGGGGCGGGACCCTTCCCCACATTCACTGCACGTGGGACTGAGGGAGTAAAACTACTTCTTTTGTTTGTAAAGCCACTGTGAGGTCCTACAAAGCCTACGTACCCCAACAGGGTGGGGTTGGGAGAGTGGTGACATTAGGAGATACTTTCCCCTTGTTCAGAAGAGTGGCGTAATGGTTACGAGTTAGGCTGCTAACGATAGGTCAGCAGTTCAAAACCCCCAGCCCCTACGAGAGAGAACCATGTGGCTTTCTACTCCTGTAAAGGACTACAGAAGCCCACAGGGGCAGATTGGCCCTGCCCTGTGGGGTCGCCGTGAGTCACAATCTACTTGGTGGCCCTGAGTTTGGTTTTACTCTGGTTGAAATTTTCCCCAAAAGGCATGGCCTGCCTCAGCAAATAATGCCTGGTGCACTGATGGAGAGATGGAAGGACGAATGATGGATATTGTCACTCAGCTGGTCGTTGTAGGGCCCGGTGGACAGGGGTGTGTAAAGCCCCAGGACTGGAGACACTAGGACTAGAGTCCTGCCCAAGAGTCCCCGTGTGGCACCTGCCCTGCCCTCCTCAGAGAAGCCACAAAGAAAGGCCCCATTGAGAGCAGTAGGGAAGGGCCTTTGTGAACTGTCAAGTGGGGTGCACACACGGGAGCTTTAGCCTGATGGATGTGGACGTGCTTACCACGAAGCTAAAGGTGCCGCGTCAGACGTGGGAGGAGCTTCTGCCCTTTGCTGCTCGGGACAGGGAGGAACTAGTCTGAACGGAGTGGAAAGAAGGCTCCACCAAGAGTCAGGAGACCCAGTCCTGAGCCACTGGCTAGTTGTGTCCTTAGATCAGTTAACTTCCTCATCTATGAGTGTGACCCGTGTTCCTACTCCAGGGGGTTGCTGTATTTTTTAAAGAACCTGGTGAGGAAGTGTGGAGTCACTTGGAAAAGTGTGAGCGGTCCTGAGCCTTGGCCATCCATCGCCTCCCCTCCTCCACCCACCCCACCCCACCTCCGGCCCCCTCCCATCACCCCCTGCACTCACTGGTCAGCGGGTCGATGCTCTGAGGAAACTGGTACTTCTTCCAGGGCCGGCGTTTGAACTTGCAGCACAGCATCTCGCAGTAGTGCTCCTCCTCCACCTGCCCCACGTCAACCGGCTTCGCGTCTGGGGCCGGCTCGGTGGTTTTCTTGGGAGCTGCCCCAAGAGAGGTGCTTCTGAGAAAGCTGGGTATTTCCACTCAGTCTCTGTGTATGGGTCTGTATTTGAGCCCCTTTGGTTCCCTCTGGTGGGTTATGGATACCTAGGGCTCCCCACACCAAGGGCAGAGTGTTGAGGGGTCCTAGGGCATGTGGAAATCGGGAAATGGTGCTTCCAGTTTCTCATGAGCAGAAATATCACTCTTCTCCTCTAGCATGAAAGACTGGACGGTATATAACAGCCTCTCCTGTGCATCTATGATGATACCTGTTGGTGATCAAGGTATTGGCTCTTACAGGTTCAATATTGCTGTTTCTAGCTTTAGGATGGAGGAGTCAGGCCTTGCCAACTCTATCATGAGGGCCATGAGTTACAAGGCACAGGAAGACCTGGAAAACCCTCCTGACAGGAGGGGGAGGGTTCCCTCCCGGCCTCTGGAAAGTAAGGTAACTTTCATGTAGCACAGTAAGAATCTTCAAACCGGGGCCTGTGAACAACCAGATTCAGATCGCTGTGACAGTATCTGAATATGAATGCATCCAAGGCTGGGCCCACCCACAAGTCAGCAGGAAATAAGCAGAAGGGTCAGTGAGGGTCTATGCCCTGTGAAAGAGGGAGTAAAGTGCCACCAGGCCATTGGGGAGAATGGCACCCTTTCTGCCTCCCCCAGGTATAGATCTTTGTACACTCTGGGCCCCGAATTCAAAGAGTGGAGATCAGGGGTCTCTCGTGCACCCGAGCCATTTCCTTGGGGCCTGTTATAGGTACATTTATTGTGCCAATCTGGCCAATAGGAATATGTGGGATTAATCAGGTCACAGTTTGATTGGCGGGCAAAGAGATAAATGGCTTGGCAAGGCCTGACCTTCTCTCTCTTGCTCTCTGGTGTTCAGACCAGTGTGAGGCTGCTTTAGGTAGTTCTCTGCCTCAACTTGTGCGCTGCATTCCCTGTGGGACAGCCAACCCATTGATCATGTCGCTAGAGCTTGAGGTTCCTTTGAGACCTGCCTCACCATGCTGCTGGCATGTACATCACTTGAGCTTGAGGCTGGTGAATACTGTCTCCATCATTGCTTGAGTTTGAGATCCCATCCGGGCCTGCTTTGCTAAGCTTCTGAGTTGCTGACTGTTGGTGACCCACCCTGCTGTTTGCTGCCTATGGGCAGATTCTGCTTGCCTTGCCCGAGGGAAGACTCAGCTGTCTGCTTCCTTGACCTGGGACCCAGTAACCCTTGTGAGTTGAAGGACTTCCAGTATGTTAACCGTTCCATGGAAGTGAGAGGAACTGAGTCCTCTGTTCTGCCGTGTGAACTAATTAGCTGTTATATATAGTGTGCTGGTTTATTTTCTCTAGAGACCCCTGCCTAACACAGGGCCACCTCGTGAAGAGAACATCCACCCTCCTCCAACCAGACATCCCCCACTCCAGACTCACAGGGCTTGGGGCTTTCCTCATCAGAGGTGACATCAGGGTCGATGAGCTTCTCCTTGACCTTCTCCGTCCGCTCCTTGAACAGCTTCACTAGCTCCTGCAGCCGGTCATTGATCACATCACTGTTCTGGCTGGCCGTGGAGATGGCCCGGTCCTGGCCACTGCGGGAGCATCACCCACCACTGAAAGGGCTGGCTAGTAAAAGACCCCTGTGCCCTGAAGACCAGAGCTGGGCAGTGTCTGCCTCCATCTGCCCCCTGAGGTCAGAAACAGCAGACCCATTGCTGACCGTGGACCCAGCTGGGCTCAGAGTCTATGGCCCCGTTGCAGATGCTGTCCCGATCCGGGCTGACCAGGAGCAGCCTGTGGTGTACAGCTCCCGCTCACCTCCACCCAGTCTCCCAGCTCCCTGAGGGTGGCCTACTTACTCCGTCCCCTGTGGACTGGAGGGATCTGACCAGGCAGCCGCCGGGGACTCAGCTGGTGACAGTGCCTTGAGCTCTTCGGCCTCATCCTCATGGGAGGGCAGCTTCTTCCTGCATGGACGGAAGTGGAAGGACCCTCAGCCCAGGGCAGGGAAACTGCTGGACCTACAGGTCACACAGATCCTCTGCACCCCAAAGGGTCCATCCGCCTGTGCCTGGTGGATAAGCCATCCTGACGGCAAAGAGGGAGGTGCCCAGTGCTCTCTCGGGGCTTAGGCTCTGCCTTGGTTCACTGTGCCAGCATGGTGGTTCACAGCATTGACCTGATGTCCTTGACGCTTCTTTAACCTTGGGCAAGCTGCAAACACTTTCTGAGCCGCCTCAGTTTCCCCCTCTGGAAAATGGGGCTAGCTGGCGCAAGGAAATGGCATGCGACTCAGTTGGGTCTCAGCTTAAATGCCCTTTCTTTTCCCCTCCCCCTCCCAGTCTAAAGTCCTCCCTCTCTGGCTGGTCCTACCTACTCCCCACTCATTATCACACACAGCCACTTCATGGTCAGCCACCAGGGCAGGCCTAAAGGCTCATGGCCCATCTTGTTAAGCCCCTCCTCAGAGCTCAGCCTCCCCTGTCCTTCAAGAGCTGCCTTGACCAGTTAGTGTTGGAGAAGGCCGGGCAGTTCTATCTGGCTACATCTGAGCCTCCCCGCCCCCCTGTCCCCCTCACCCCCCACCCCCCACTCCACAAGGCATCTGTGCTGCACGCCATGGGTACCACACCATGTCCCCTGACTCCCTGACGGAAGATGCCCGTGAGAGGGCTTGTCAAGTCCACCCAGCTCCCACAGCCGGGGGCTGCCACACAGCCAGCAGCGTGAGTGTGAGGGAGACAGTCCCACCGCACAGGACAAAAAGCTTCCAAACTCACTGCCATCGAGTCGACGCCGACTCAAGAGCGGCCCAGGTTCAGGCTAGAACTGCCCCTGTGCGTTTCTCAGACTGTAACCGTTGACGGAGCAGAAAGCCCCGTCGTGCTCCCTTGGAGAGGCCGGTGGTTTCCAACTGCAGACCTCGCCGGCTGTAGCCCAACATGTAAGCCAGCAAGGTGCCGCGATGCGCCCCTCCCCTTTAGAGTCCCTTCTACATGACTGACAGCTGAGGGCTTTAAGACCGCGCTTGCTGGGAGCTCAAACCGGGGAGGGGAGCCTGGTCCCGGTCCTGACACCAACTTGTCATGTGACCTTGGGCCCACCGACTTCCCCTCTTGGGCCTCAGTTCTCTCCTCTGTGCCCTGCACAGGATCACTGTGCTAGAAAGGCCACGAGATGCGTCAAGGGTGACCTGTGGGTGCCCGTGGCCGAGCCTGGGACCGTGAGGGTGTCAGATTTGGCAGGAGAAGGTGTCGGCTGGACAGGCGAGGGCAGACTTTCCTCCAGGATGAGCGGGAGGCTGTCGGCGTCAGCATCCTCCACCTGCACCTCAGGGTGCTCACTCGTGGCAGGCACTGGGTGGGGAGCGGGGGAGAAGAGAACGTCAGAGCAGGGAAGCCACGTGGCAGAAAGCCCGTGTGAGCGGCCCCAGGTAAGATCCATGCAAGGGCTCCGATCCAGGGCCCGCCAAGCAGCAGCACGGCCACCCAGTCACCAGCCCGGAGCCAAACCAGGAGCCTCGACGACACAGCAGCTCTGAGCACAGGCCAGCTCTCCAAAGCGCAGCCCCGCTTCCCTGAGCCTAGAACTCAATGATGGCATGGATGTCGGGGGCAGCACTCAGAGGCCTGGGGGCCCTAGGGAAGCTGACCCAGCACAGCTGTGTGGTCCTGGACCTGCCGGGTCCCCTCTCTCAGCCTCCGTTTCCCCTTCCAGGTCTCTTCCCTGTGGAGGAGAGACCAGGAGGGTGCACCTGGTCTCGAATGGAGCCCCTGGGGTACTAACAGGCTGCCTCTGTGATGTCTGTAGTTGTTGTGTGGAGAGCATTTGGAACACCCTCTGTTTGGGAATGTAGGTTAGGACTGCCTGCCTTGCACAAGGCCAGGCTCCTCCCTGGACTTCTGAGTGGCCTGTCGCCATGTCCCAAAAGCCAGGTCTTTCCTGGGGAGCCCTGCCTGGAGCTCCACTGATCTCCCAGGGACTGGGGAGCCAGGTCTGCCCCCAGCCAAGCTCACAAACTGCTGAGGGGGCTGGGATGGTCCCCGACCAGGTTCCCCATCACGCCAGGGCAGGACCTGTACCCAAGAGCAGTAGGGCACAGGCACAAGGCACCAACAGCACAGGGGTGTGCCCTCTGGAAAGGGTCTGGTCCCATGGGAAGCTCCAGCACTCTCAGGGTTGCTTTATGTTCTTTTCAGGCTGGTGGGAGGGGCCGGAGCAAGGCTGAGACAGGCTAAGTCCTCACTCGAGGAAGGAGGAGGATCAGGAATCGGGGATTTAAAAACATGGGAGAACGTTTGCCCTGGCAAACCAGAGTCTCCCCAGGCTGTGGCAGGAAGAGAGTGTGCCAGGTGGAGGGGCCCCACCCTACTCCCCAGCAGCCTAGAGAGCTGATCTTCAGAAGATGGGGGGCAGGGGGAGCCCCTTCCCAAATGCTCAGGTGCCACTGGGCCTCCCAAGCTGGTCGCTTGCACCCAGGATGCCTCCCCAGGAGCCTGGGAGGGACGGGTGCCTGGTCCTGGGTCAGAGCCTG